TGGTGCGTCCCCACGGTCACAGATCATAAAGTAAAAAGGAAAGATGTCGTCCCCTCCCTCTCTAGTGCCAGAGTTCCCTGACCGTCTTGTTTTTGGAGTGTGTCTCACTTGTGTCATTCCTTCATGGACTCGTGGCAGCACACTCACACACACCCGTGTGCACTGCTCGCTCAACGGCCACAGCAGTCCTTCCTCCCGTCAGATCCTCACCCTCTCGCCGAGGCTCTGTAGCCGTCCCCCGGGTGGACCTTACTTCTGCCGCTTCCCTCTGATAAGCGAGCGTGCGAGGACGTCCGCGGTCATTTCTCGTGGACCGTCCACTCACTCGTCCCTTGTTGGGGTTGGGGTTAATAGTGGGCCCTCTTCCATTTCCAGACGTTTAAATACGACCGGTTCCTGAACGCCGACGGGTCGGAGAAGAGAGACTTCTACAAGGACGGGAAGCGGCTGAAGCACCCCACCGTGCCCTGGGGGGCGGGCCACAACCAGTGCCTGGGCAGGGGCTACGCCGTCAGCAGCATCAAGCAGTGAGTGGGGGTCCCCGGGGGCACCGCGCCCTCCTCCCCAGACACCGAGTGCTCAGCCAGGCGGGGTGCAGTTAGGGCAGGCTCCAAGCTGGCCGAGGGTCCTCTCCTGCCCACACATCTGTTCATTAATGTTTTTAAAGATCGAAAGAGCTCGCACAAAAAGCCAGATTTCTGACCTTTTGAAATAACCAGATCTGGCAGCAGGAGTGTCCCTCCAAGAGAGGGTCTGAATGCCACCCGCTGGGCACTCGGGCCAGTCGCCCGTAACTGTCCATCGCAGCTGCTGCTGTGTGTTCAGAACCTGGCCTCGCTTCAGCGTCCCCCTCCGGGGGCTGAGAGCCCTGGTGACTCTTGCCTGGACCCAGGTGCCTCCCTTCCCCTGGGATCACAACCGACTGGACCAGGGTCGTGACATTTCTCTGTCTGGCCCCTGTGCAGTCACGAGCTGGGGGACCTCGGAGCCTGTTTTCCCAGCTGGTTAGAACCGTGTCCCGGGTGTCCCGACAACTGCAGGCTGTGCCGAATGGTCATTGTCACTGTACTTCGTCACTGCTGTCAGGGTGCAGGCTTGGGCTGGGGACGGCTCTGCACTTGAAGCCTGGTCTCGGTTCTCTCAGTGGTGAATGGAGTTCAGGTTGCGCGCGGTTCTGCTCTGACGCTTCCTGGGCTTCAGTGATCCCACGTCCTCCCGCTGTGACATCCTGCAGAACTGCCCAGGGCTCGTGGGACAGAAGCTGTTGGCGCCCACTGAGGCCTCCTCGGCGGCTCGGGGGAGGACAGCCCAGTAAAGACCAGTGACACGCAGGTTACAAGATGGGGAGGTCGGCGTGCGCTGGGGACGCGGCCGTCCGCGGGGGCCAAGGGTGTGAGCCTGGGGGCTCTGCACACCAGGCTGGGCCGGGAGGGTTTGCACTCACCTGGAGTTTCTCACAGATGAGACGTGACACCGTGCTGTCCCCAATTCTGCCCTTGAGTGGCCGTCGCCAATCAGGTCCATGGTTCCCAGTGAGCGCTGCAGCAGAACTGGGCGGGGTCCTGCCTCGTCAGGTTTTTGGGCAGGCAAAAAGGAGACATGGGTCCTAAAGGCTGAGCACCACGTCTGGCCCATGGAGGGTTGAAAGCCTCTCGGTCATCATGGCCACCCTGCCAGGCAGGGGTCAGTCTGAAGCTCTCTGGATGGTCAGGTCATGGGCTGCTCTCGGGCATCTGGCGAGTGGAGATGCCAGGGTCCGGGTCCAGGCTGGGCCCTGAGGTTCGCCCCAGCGGACTCACCGCGGGCACCCTGCAGCCCAGGCAGAAGGGACCCTTCCCACAGACGGGGACCTCAGACCCCCACTGAAAACAAAACCTGGCCAGGGCCACATGCCGCAGGTGACAGAGCCCAGATCTCCTGTCCAGAGTGGCCTTCCCTCTTCCTCGTCCTCCTGAGTCTGCTCTGTCCTGCATTAGGTCCCGGCCACAGTTAGTGTGAGTGATCAGGCAGGTAAGCAGGGCCTGTCAGTCCCGAAACTGCATTATTGGGGACACTGATGGCGTCCTAGGCGTGGTAGCTTTGCGTAGTCACTGGACAGTGTCCTAGAAGGTGGCAGTAGGGAGCACCTGTCTTGGTATACGATGTCAGTTTTCTTACCTGTGGCAATAACTGTCTTGGGAGGGCAGTGCCTGCTTCTATGTCACCGAGACACAGGTGGGTGAGCAGTGGCCCTGGCTGGGACCGACAGTGGAGTGGTGAGGGGTGTGGGCAGGAGCAGGAGGGGCCCGCCAAGCCCCAGGACTTAGAGCCCCACAGGCTGGGGCCTGGGGCTCCTCCCCACTGCAGGACTCTGGGGCCAGCAGGCTCCCCTCTGCAGTGCCCCCATCTCCACACGAAGCCTGCACAGCCACCGGGCGGCAGGGAAGTGTGGAGTCGGGCGTGGCTCGAAAGTGCCTTGGCGTGGCAGTGACACTGGCCACCTCTGCTTAACCCCGGTCACCAGAACCCATCCTCGGGCCTCGGCTCAGCAGGGGCCGGCGGACCAGAGGCACTGCCCACCTTCAGCTCCGTCTCTCTGCAGGTTCGTGGTCCTGGTGCTGACGCACTGTGACCTGGAGCTGATCCGCGCCGACGACGTGGAGGTCCCCGAGTTCGACCTCAGCAGGTACGGCTTCGGCCTGATGCAGCCGGAACTCGACGTGCCTGTGCGATTCCGCGTCCGGCCCTGACCTGCGCCCATCTCCAGCCACCCTGCGCGGCTCTGCCTTCCTGCACCGCATCGCCCTCTCCTGCTGCTCCAGAGGCTGTGTCCGCTGAGGGGACGAGGGGCAGGAGCTGCGAAGGACACAGCAGGAAAGACCGCAGACTCCAAGCCGCAGCCAGACTCCTCCTCCCCTGCTCGCCTTGCTCCTGTCACCTGGTGATGTCCCCTGAAGCTAATCCAGACAGGGCAGGGCCATGAGTTCTGCTGCCAGGCCCCCAGCTCCACGGTGGTCCCTGTCCCAGCCCTTGACAACGAGTGTGGTCCAGGCGAAGCCGGTCAAAGCAGATGCTGGCCTGGAGAGGCCCCTTGGACCCAGCAGTGTGTCCACATCGCAGGCTCTGTCCCGCTTGCTAAGGTGTCCCTCAGGACCCCTCCCTCCCTGGGTGCCCCACTCACTGGACAGAGTCCCTCCACCGTTCACGGGACACCTGAGACCCCCGAGGAGCGGACAGCCGGGTGTGGTCCCTAGGCCCCGCGGAGCGCTGGGCTCTGGGAGAGTCCTCTGATGTGGGCTTCCCTGACTCGGGGACCAGGAGACAGGCCCCAGGTGGCTGAGGAGCCAGCGCACAGTGGTGGGGGGTGCTGAGCCCCTTGCTCCTGAGCGGACCCCCTGCCGCTGCACCGTCCCCCGCAGGCGGGTTTCCTTGGCTGACACTTCAGAGAACCTGGACTTGGTTTTAGTTTGAATCCCTCCGTCTGCGGGAGAGGCACTCTGGCGTCAGCTCTCCTGACAACCCGGGCGCTCTGGCCACGCGGGCGCTCCGCAGGGCATCGCGCAGGAGCCGAGTGCTGCCCTCTGCCTGGCCGGGCCTGGGCTCTGCTCCCCCAGCGTCGGGCTTGGTCGGCTCTGCCTCTCGGTACCTTCTGGCCCGGAGGGCACCCGAGTCTGAGGCCGTCTGGCTCTTAGAAGTGACGTCACAGGAGCAGAAGTGACGTCACGGGACCTGACCTGCCGGCCCCAGCCTTTGAACAAGCAGGTCAGTGGGGAAACCGACCTTTGCCTCAGCTTTAAGGAAGAACGGCGTCAGAAAAACAGCCTGCGAGCCCTGATGGTGGCCGCCGGTGTTATCGACAGCAGGTTCTGCTTATCGGATGCCCCTGGAGTGCTGTGACGGGCGAGCAGACATGGATTTCTATTCCTTACAATGTCTCTGTGCAGAGAGGACGGCGATGCCCTCTTTGTACATGGGAAAGCAGGCTCAGAGAGGTGCAGTGGGTTTCCTGGGGTCACACAGCTCATCGACTGGTTGAACTGGGACCACACTTCTTGTTCTAGGAGCAAATGGCGGATGGGCTCAGGTTCCTCGGGGTCCAGGGCTGGTGGGGTGCCATTCTGTCTGGCCTTGGAGTGCTGAGAGCCAGAGGCTTGAGTGTGGATTCATACCCTGAGCCGTAGATGCAGACACAGAGCAAGTCCTCTGGCTTTAGGTGGACAGGAGAGGCCCCAGGGGTCCGTCTCTTCCAGGAGCAGTGCGGGGTGTGGGGCTTCCCCAGCCCCCTGTCGCCAGGCAGCCCCGGATTCCCAGACAGACGGTGTGATTGGCAGGAGGCTGGATATCCCCGGGGAGACCCATCTCCACGCCTGGGTGACCCCGCCGCCGCCTGCTTCTTAACTCTGCAGGAAATCAGAGCTGGCAGCCTCCTGTGGGAGGACAGCCGGTTTCCATGGCAACCCTCGCTGCCGCCTCGCTGCTGGGGGGGAAGGAAGGAAGCCAGCGGAAGAGCCCGGAGGTCCCCGGCTGCAGCCTGGCGTGTGCCCGGGGAGGACCTGCTGACTCCCCCCGAGGCTGGGCCGGGCTGTCCCCCAGGCTGGGCCGGGCTGTCCCCCAGGCTGGGTTCTCCCCTTATATCGGGAACGGCTCCAGGAGAAGAGGCTCTCCCTGCGGCCGAGGCGCTGGAGCAGGGGGTTAACTGCTCTTGCTTCAGTCTTTAGAATTTTTCTTGACTTTTCTTTTCTCCCTTTTTTCCTTTTAATAAGTGTTAAGAATGGAGAGAGATGGTGGCACAGTGCTAGCTGCAGGGCTAGGAAGGCCCGGGTGTCGCACCTCCTCCTGCCTCCCTGGGAACCGCGGGCCGCAGGCGTTAGTCATCTGGGTTGAGAGGTCGTTGGAGAGGGGTCCTCAGCCCTGTCCTTGCTGGCTGTTTCTCTTTTTTCTTCTTTTTTTCCCCTTTCCTGTATTTTAAGTTGTTTTCCAAATATTCTCCTTTAGGCAGACTCACTTTTTAAATTTAAATTTGTCTTCCGGTTGCTGCCAGTAATGGCCAACGTGCGCTCACTGCCCAAAATAGAAAACGACTGAAAAAGAACTGGGCTGGGGAGGGGCTGGGGCCTGTGGCCAAGGCCCAGAGCCCCGCAAGGCCAGGGCTGCCCGCGGGCTGGCCACTTCTCCTTGGTGAGCACACAAGGTCCCAGGCTGAGGAGCAGGACTGTCCCCGTGGGGGCCTCACAGGGGCATGTGCTCCACCAGGGGGCGCCACTCACAGCAGCTGGACTCGCCACCTGCCCCCTCCAGACAGGCCCCCAGGGGCAGCGGCCTCGCCCCAAGTAATTGACTTGGATGTTCTTGCTGTCTTAGTAAACACCGCGTTTCCCGAGTGCGCGACTGCTAGGCCTTCCTCGTTTAATAAAGATTCTATTTTCATGTAACATTTGAGTGGAAAGGGGCTAAATCTATTAAACCGGCTTGTTTGTGGATCTGTCAGTGTGTGATTCTGATCCATTGAGGAGGCTGGCGGGTCTGAGAGAGCCAGGGTAGCCCTGGGAGGGGAGCGCAGGGAACCTGCTCTGGGCCCAGCCCTGGGCCAGAGCCTCTAGGAGACAGAATGCAGTCACTCCCCCAGCCACCCTCCAAAGGTGTATGTTATTGTTCTCATTTATATAGAGAAAGAAACTGAGGGTCATAGAGGTTCAGTGACTTGTCTAAGATGTGCATGAGAAGTAGTAGATTCAGGATTCAAATGCAGGCCTCTCTACTGTTACAGACTCTGTTTCTATGAGTAATGTGCTCTCCTCCTGCTGACAGCAGAGGGGCCAATGGAGGGTCCCTAGCAGACAAAAAAAAAAAGGTCTCCGAAAAATTCACTGCCTCTTCTCCGTCCTCCCCCAAAATGCACACATTTGTTTTAGTATAAAAAAAGCATGAAATGAATTGAGTGTGCTTTGGCAAAAACAGAAAAGGGGACCACAGTGGCTTTCTCGTGGAATCTTATCGAGGCGTGAGGTCTCCCCCGTCTGCCTCCTCGTCGTGGGGGAGTCACAGAAGCACCACAGGTTTTGCACGACAAAGTGTTCACATTCAAAGCAGCAGACATTTCCTTCTTGTGCAGATACAGGAGACCAGAGCTGGTGTGGCGTCTCCACAGCCACAGGCCCTTCTTTCCTGGTCCCTCCTGCACCGTGGCCAGGATTGCAGCCTCAGGGACAAGTGTGGCTGGCTAAGTCCAGCTATTTTGTCACCTTCTAGGCAGCAGCAAGGAGGGAGGAGCAAAAAAAAGAAGTCTGCTTCCGCTATTGGTCATGCCTTAGTCACCTGACCTTTCTTGCCGCAGTGGAGGCTGGGAAATGTAGTCTTTTGTTCCAGGATACCAGGCTGCACCCCAGGGTACCACGCTACTGCTCAATAAAAATAGTACACTCTCCTGTTTACCAGGTGCCGTCTGAGCTACCTGGTGGGCCGAGGGACAGGGCTTGGCTTCTGTCACAGTTTGGATCTGGACCGTTCCCCAAGGGCTCCTGCATCCCTGAGGTGGGGATTTGATCCATCACGAGCGCTCTGCTGCACTGAGGTGGTGACCCAGGGACTCACAGCTGGATGGACCAGGGTGGGGGGACCGTGGGGGATCCTGCTGGGCAGTGGACCGTCCTTCCTCTCCCTTCAAGTCCTGACCAGCGCGTGGGGGAGACAAGAACCTGGGTAAGGAAGTCAAACACAGAGCGTGTCAGTTGGTGACAGGGCTGGAGAGGAGAAGGGCTGAGGGAGCCAACACTCGGCGCGACCGCCAGGCATCTGAGGAAGAATGTTCCAGACAGGGGCTATGGAGACCAGGCAGCCCGGCAGGTTCCAGGACCGGGGAGGAGGCCAGGTGGCCGGTGCCGTGGAGGCTCTGGGGAGAGGAAGGACGGTCCACTGCCCAGCAGGATCCCCCACCTGCGTGTGTGGGAGCGGCCAGGCCTGCGGCGGCATAGACTCCCCGCCCAGGCCACAGAGACGTCGAGAAGCCAGTCAGAGTGGGGACGGCGCCAGGCCTGAGAAGCCAAGACAGCAGGAGGGACGTGGTGGTGGTGGAGGCAGAGGTGGCCCTGAGGTGGCCCTGGGGCAGTCAGGGACGTCTCCAGGCAGGTGGCCACGCGATCTGGGGTCTGGTTGCGAGCCCGCCAGCCTTGGGAAGATGCAGGGGAGCACTCAGGGGAAGGCGGAGGCCCGGCCAGGCTTGAGAAACACTGTCCCCAGGTCCCTCTGCTCAGGCCGGGGGACTGAGCAGGACGGCAGGCCACGCCTTCCTTCCAATGGAAACAACCTGGTTTTGTGGAACCCGCCTTCCGGCCCGAGTTTCCTCTTTCCGTAGTGAGCCGTGAAGCTCCAAGCCCTCACTGACAGGGTGTGGGAACCGTGGCCATTGGAGATGTGGACGTGAGGCCACTGAGGGCCAAGTGGGGGACAGCTGGAGGCCCTGCACCTTCTCAGGACCAGGGTGGCCCGAGAGGGACAAGGACACGGCAGAGCACCCACGTTGCACAGGAACGCCACCTTTGGACACCCAGACCCTTGGAACTAACAGGGTCCTCACGACTGTGCGTCAGGTGACAGCAGAGCCACGTGGGTGAGGCAGGTGGCCGGGCAACACCAAGCCCAGCCCCAAAGAAGCGCAGGTCTGTTCAGATGATAGCCGGCTCCGTGTGCAACCTCCAGGTGAAAACAAGCCCAAGTCAAGCTTCCATGCCAGGCACCCCTTGCCAGCCAAGTG